ATTTCTAATGTGAAAATTCAGTTGGGGTTAGAAAAAAATCTTCAATTTATATTGAAAGAACGCGAAAAATAAAGAATATTGGTTTCTATTTTTTCTTTTTAGAAGCAGGCATTAAAAAAAAAAAAGTAATGTATGTTTTATTTATTAATCCGACAGTGGATACTCATTAAACAGTGAATTTATTTTCGTTTACTGTCCTCCATATTCGAGAAACTTGTTAAAGACAATATGCACCCTCCAGCAGGATTCGAAGCTGTCCCCACCACCACTGCCTTAAGAGAAACCGTCGTTAGATCGGACGTGCTTTCAACCGACTAAGCCACGGAGTGCGTCGACGATCAAGCAAAGTTGAATAGTGGTTTATAAACGCAAATCTTTCTCTGACTCTCAAAACATAACTGCCCATTTTCGTATCCTAACGTAAACAAAGCAATTTCAAAAGAAGGAATAGATTTTTTTATTTATTTATGAATAGAATTAATAAAACCTAAAACACATGAAAGTGAACTGTGTTCGTGAGAATTTACAGCAAAAAATATTAACAGATCGAGATAGCTATTACGGAGATGTGATTAAATATACTTTAATGTTTTTAAAAAAAAGTATTCATTATTATTATTATTATTATTATTATTATTATTGTTTAGGTAATAAGCATTATAACATAGCACAAATAGCTATATTGTGGAAAAAGGAATTTTCAACGATATACGCATTTTTTACGTATTTATGGTTATTTTTTTAACTTTTATAAAAAAACGACATTCTTGTACATGTAGTTATGGATAATATTAGAGATTAATTACTAATTATTAAATAACTATTTGTGCTCAGTTGTTGACATTGATAGCTATCTGCCGATGTGTTAAAATTTTGGAATAATGCAATAATAAAAAAAAAATTAAATTACATCTTCCTGATAGATGTCACAATCTGTAAACAGCAATTATTAGATTGTATAATTGCAAGAACAATTTTATATTTATGACATTCTACAAACTAATACAATTGTATTAAAACTAACACAATGCAATACCATTTGCCAATTTATAAAGAAAAATCTGTAAACAATTCATAAATTATAAACATTCACTAAATTATAATATATGAACCAACTATAAGGAAATAGTTACCATTTTATAAAGTTCGAATTGATTGGCAATTAGTCGATGTTTTGCCAACTGTTCCAATAAACAGTGTACACAAACGAACAGTGTAAACAGTACATTATTTACATTATTCGAACTATTGTCCTCATCTTTGTCGCCATATTTATTACAACGTTTCAGCCGTTGTAAGCTCCGGCCTTCTTCAGGTGGTTGAAATGTCTAACTGAACCCTTTATTTCGCTCACTGGGGTAGACTGTTCTAGTTCCGGTTAAGGTAGTGGAGAACTTTCATAGGGAAAATTAACAGGAGATAACTAATAACATACTACCGGCTGACAAAGGCAATGCGACTGTAGTGATGGACATCCATTAAAGACATGGCACGTGGAACTAGAACAGTCTACTCCAGTGAGCGAAATAAAGGGTTCAGTTCGACATTCCAACCACCTGAAGAAGGCCGGAGCTTACAACGGCCGAAACGTTGTAATAAATATGGCGACAAAGATGAGGACAATAGTCCGAGTAATGTAAATAATGTACATAATACCTCATCTCAGAAATATAGACAATGTAAAAAGTGTATAAATAGTCTAAATAAAGAATATAAGAACAATGAAAGTTTATAAACTATATACGTTTAGGTTTTATTAAAATTCTAAATGATCGCTTTTATAAAACAATAAATATTACCGAGGAGTGAAGGTAGTTAAAATAATAGCGGTGTCAAGGGAAAAACTGTTCTTTTCACACTGCGGTTTTTTGCAGGCACTTGCCGAAATTTTAATGTAAAGAAACATTATTTCAGAACACCAATTGTAACACCCAATATCATCCTCAGGACTTCTTGCATTTCTTCATAACATAATACGCGAATAAGTCCTGACAGTTTAATTCGGATGCGAAACAACTTGCAGGAAAAATATTTTTTAACATGAAGTTTATCAAAAATCGAACGCGGTAATTCAGAAAAGAATAATAACAATGAAACATTACCCTTTAGTTATCTTTAATTACCTTTAATTATTTTTAAACAATTGATTCTCAAACTCTTTGAAGACGGAGCACACTTGAAATCCTACCAATAGTTGTAGGTGCACTATATACAAATTTCAGAAAAATATATTATAATGAAGTCAAATATTGCCGAAAAGAAATAATGAAATAAAATGTATAAAATGAAACATACCTTAAGTTTATTCATTCTTGTGTTTATGAGAAACATGAGCCTGATTAGTCTTAGCCATTTCTTGGACGTCTATTTGATAGGCAAAATCTCAATTACTCGACAATACATTGAAAAGTTCCTCTCTTTTTGCATTTAATTGTGGTAAGAGCAGAAAAGCCTAATTCACATAAATATGAACGAGACGGGAACTGAAATATAATAAAGTAAATATATTTATTTATATCTGGATACATATTTCTATGGAAGATGCCAGGGCACACCTAGACATCTTCCAGGGCGTACCTGTGCACCCAGGCGCACCACTTGAGAACCATTGCTTTAAACAATGTAATCATAAAAGCTTGCATGTTAAGACTTGAACCAACTGTAATAATTAGTTTCTTCTTTGGCAGCAAAGACAAAGAATTATTATCGGAGGAGTGGTCTTATGTTCGGTAAGGGGCTGGTGAGAAAATGAAATAAAATCGATAAATAAAATTTTTCTATGATGCTAATAATAAAGGAACTACAAATTCTATTAACCATACTTCGCTTCGTCAAATGTCGTTTAAGTTTATAAAAATACAAAAATGCTCCAAGATATAGCATGATGTGAAAATTACGTCCCCGTTGGAACACGTTCGTTTCCCCGGTCCACTGACGATTAAACTCTTTCCACTTTCTAACGCATGGTATTAGAACGCGTCTTCAAAAATTTCCACCTATGAAGTAAAACAACCTTTTCTTTGGTTGTTCCAACTCAGCGCAAGGCTACTTTAAGCTCGGCCATTACACCTCCCGATGAAGTAAGTACATTTTGTTTGTTCCATCCCTGCGCAAAGCTGACGTACTCGACCATTATAACGATGCTTAACCTTACTTACCCTAACTTCTTGACCAACAAGAAAACGGACATATCCAAGAGACATTGAAAACTTTGTTTCGCTACAGTTGTATATATTAGATTTTAATCATTTCACACCAAGTAAAGCAATAAAGCCACTAAAACGAAATGACTTGCTGAGAAATGTGTTAGAGAATACGAGAAAAACATCGAGGACAGAGAACATTAACCCTAGTACACTAATCCTTAATTAAAGTTACACCACTACTAACCACGGGTATATCATACCCGATTTTGAAAATATAAAAAAATATTAAATAAAAATCTTTATTTGAAATATTTTACATGCAGACACTTCAAACTTTGTACTTTAAGTTAACATTAATAGGAATTGAAAAACATATTATTTAGGTAAGAAAATCAGGTACTGAAAATTGTAATAAATAGGAAAATTTGCCCTGTGTACTATATACCCATTGTTAGTTTTCCAAGGTAAAAAGAACAAGAATTAAAGCAGAAGATAACGATTGGCATTGCATTTAAATTTTTGAAGATGAAAGTTGGCTGGAAAGCAACACGGTGGAAGAGAGTTCCACAAGTAAGAACTGCGATAGAAGAAACTGTTAGCATAGAACTTACGGTTACATCTGGCCATTTCAACTGTAAAATGATGAGACCTTACTGCCAATCCAGTACTGCGCTTAAATTGATAAAGTCTATGTACCATAGAGAAAAGGTCATCATATTGCTAAGGTTTTCATTTTCTTTCCATTTCCTTAAGTTCTTTTATGTACTGCGGTTATTATCCTTAGAACAATTACCATGAAAGTATTTGTAGAAAAAAGGTACACAGGAAAGCTACATTAAGGCGACTGGAATGTGAGCGAAGGCAAGATACAAGGACAGAACCAGTAGGGTTTATCAAGAATCAATAAAGATATAACAGGAGCACCAGACAAGATGTGGAAGTTGTGTTCAAAGCAAGGACGAATGGTAAGATTCTGGCGGGAAAAATTGTCTATCACAACACAGGGAACGAATACCCAAGTTTTTGTATGCCTCAGTCATTAGTGTTTATGTGTGTACACGCACACACTCTGCAATAATAGTCCTAGATATGACAAACTACACTGCTAGTGGAACCAAGAGGATGTTTCCCCGATCACTACAGTCTTAACCTGTTCAAGTCTAACGTTAACCGTTATCCAGCAAGATCGTGAAATTGCTGGTCCTTGAAGGGGGGTAGCACTTTTTAGGGGCCCAGCTATGGGCAAATAGTGCCCCCCAGCAAAAACAAAACACTATGAAAGTATAAAATAAATTTTATGGTAAAATTACCAGCAATGCATTTTATCTGTAATTGAAGACAATTGCATTCAAAATATTTATATTTTGGCATTAAATAACTCATAGAGTTTGATATGGTGCTAAACAAAATCAATCAAACTAAACCCTACAACCCAACACGCAACCTTTAAACTAGAGAGGGTCAGAAAATTTCCAAAAAGATAAATAAAAATTTACGCTTTGAGGCACATAAGAGTTAAAAAAATCATCAGGACAAATAGAGAAAATTATCGACATTTGGTTACTAGATCTTCCCTAAATACATAGAGAGAGAATCTTTTCCAAACAACCTCCTTACAGATTCACAAGACGTGTTCTAATAAAAAGAAAAAAAAAAAAACCCAAAAAAACAAAAAACAAAAAAAAAACTCTTGGATATTTGAAGATATATAAGCGAGCGAGCAACTGGAAATGACGTTTAAGTATGTAGATGCGAGCGTACGTATGTATATCCAGATGCAGGTTGTGTTGGTTTGGAAATATGGCTTTGTGGAAACAAAAAGTAGACATAAAATAAAACGGCATTTCCTCGCACCTTTTCCTTTCCAAGTTAAAGACAGCAGCAGCAGCAGCAACAGCAGCAGCAGTAATGTTAGCGAAGACGAGGGCGCCGCCTTTTGGGCATATTTTCAGCCTGAAAGGCTTTAGAAAGCGACCGAGTAAGTTCTTTGATAAAGAGAGTTTTTGCATCTTGTCTTTGATGACTGTTACGAGGCCGCGAAAGACAACGAAAAAGCTCAAGAAATCTTAATAGATAAATGTATCAAAAAAATGAACGAGGGTATGGGGGGGGGGTCGTGAAAGGGGAAAAGGTGGTAGAGGAAGCGGTGAAGGAAGACAACAAAATTAAGTAAAAAACAAGAAAACTAAAAACGTAAAATGAATATAAGAAAGAAATATAAGTGTAGAAGAAGAGAGAGAGAGAGAGAGAGAGAGAGAGAGAGAGAGAGAGAGAGAGAGAGAGAGAGTGAGGCAAATACAATAAAACGAGAGAGTAAGAGAGAGAGAGAGACAAATACAATAAAGCGAGACAGAGAGAGAGAGAGAAGCAAATATAATAAAACGAGAGAGAGAGGCAAATGCAATAAAACGAGAGAGAGAGAGATAGGTAAATAAAACGAGAGAGAGAAAGAGAAAAAGAGAGAGAGAGAGAGGCGAATGCAATAAAACGAGAGAGAGAGAGAGAGAGAGAAGAGAGAGAAAATAATAAAACGAGAGAGAGAGGCAAATGCAAAAAAGAGAGAGAGAGAGAGAGAGAGAGAGAGAGAGAGGTAAATACAATAAAACGAGAGAGAGGGCAAATGCAATAAAACGAGAGAGAGAGAGAGAGAAATACAATAAAACAGAGAGAGAGAGAGAGAAAATGCAATAAAACGAGAGAGAGGGGGCAAATACAATAAAACGAGAGAGAGAGAGAACTCATAAATACAATAAAACGAGAGAGAGAGGAGAGAGAGAGAGGCAAATGCAAAACGAGAGAAAAAATGAATAAAACGAGAGAGAGAGAGAGAGAAGGCAAAACAATAAAAGAGAGAGAGAGGTAAATACAATAAAACGAGAGAGAGAGAAAATGCAATAAAATGAGAGAGAGAGAGAGAGAAATACAATAAAACGAGAGAGAAAGAGAGAAAAAATACAATAAAACGAGAGAGAGAGGCAAATGCAATAAAACGAGAGAGAGAGAGAGAGAGAGATACAAATAAAAAAATGAGAGAGAGAGAGCAAAATGAGAATAAAACGAGAGAGAGAGAGAGAGAGAGAATACAATAAAACAAGAGAGAGAGAGAGGCAAATAAATAAAAGAGAGAGAGAGAGAGAGAAATACAATAAAACAGAGAGAGAGGCAAATAAATAAAACGAGAGAGAGAGAGAGAGAGAGAGAGCAAAATAAAACGAAAGAGAGAGAGAGAGAGGCAATGCAAATAAAACAAGACAGAGAGAGAGAGAGAGAGGAAAAATAAAACGAGAGAGAGAGAGAGAGAGAGGCAAATAAATAAAACGAGAGAGAGAGAGAGAGGCAAATACAATAAAACGAGAGAGAGAGGCAAATGAGAGAGAGAGAGAGAGAGAGAGAGACAGAGGGGTAAATACAATAAAACGAGAGAGAGAGAGAGAGAGAGGCAATAAAAAAAAAAAAGAGAGAGAGAGAGAGATAAATACAAAAAAAGAGAGAAAGGCAAATGCAATAAAACAGAGAGAGAGAGAGAGAGAGAGAGAGAGATGAGGTAAATACAATAAAACGAGAGAGAGAGAGAGGGCAAATAAATAAAATAAAACAGAGAGAGAGAAATAGAGAGAGAAAGAGAGAGGCAAATAAATAAAACGAGAGAGAGAGAGAGAGAGAGAGGCAATTATAAAAAACGAGAGAGAGAGAGGCAAATACAAAAATAAAATGAGAGAGAGAGAGGTAAATACAAAAAGAGAGAGAGAGAGAGAGGCAATTACAATAAAATGAGAGAGAGAGAGAGAGAGAGAGAGGCAAATACAATAAAACGAGAGAGAGAGAGAGCAAATAAATAAAAGAGAGAGAGAGAGGCAATGCAATAAAACGAGAGAGAGAGAGAGAGAGAGAGAGGTAAAAAAATGAAACGAGAGAGAGAGAGAGAGAGAGAAGATAAATACAATAAAACGAGAGAGAGAGAGAGGCAAATGCAATAAAAGAGAGAGAGAGAGAGAGAGAGAGAGAGAGAGAGAGAGAGAGAGAGAGAGAAAGGCAAATAAAAAAACGAGAGAGACAGAAAACGACAGAGAGAGAGAGAGAAATACAATAAAACGAGAGAGAGAGAGAGAGAGGCACAGAGAAATAAGAGAGAGATAGAGGCAAATGCAATAAAACGAAAGAGAGAGAGAAATACAATAAAACGAGAGAGAGAGAGAAAGAGAGAGAGAGGCAAATGCAAATTACGAGAGAGAGAGAGAGAGAAGGCAAAAAATGAAACGAGAGAGAGAGAGGGGTAAAGAGAGAGAGAGGGCAAATACAATAAAACGAGAGAGTGAGAGAGAGAGAGAGATAAATACAATAAAACGAGAGAGAGAGAGAGAGAGAGAGAGAGTGGCAAATACAATAAAACGAGAGACAGAGAGAGAGGTAAATACAATAAAACGAAAGAGAGAGAGAGAGGCAAATACAATAAAACAAGAGAGAGAGAGGATGAGAGTGAGAGAGGCCAATGCAATAAAACGAAAGCGAGAGAGAGAGGCAAATACAATGAAACGAGTGGGAGAGAGAGAGAGAGAGAGAGGGGTAAATACAATAAAACGAGAGAGAGAGGCAAATGTAATAAAACGAGAAAGAGAGATAGATAGATAGATAGAGAGAGAGAGAGAGAGAGAGAGAGAGAGAGAGGTAAATACAATAAAACGAGAGAGAGAGAGGGAGAGAGAGGTAAATACAATAAAACGAGAGAGAGGTAGAGAGAGAGAGAGAAATACAATAAACGAGAGAGAGAGAGAGAAAGGTAAGAGAGAGAGAGAGGGAGGTGAATAAAAAACGAGAGAGAGAGAGAGAGAGAGAAAAAGGCAATGCAAAAAACGAGAGAGAGAGGCAAATACAATAAAACGAGAGAGAGAGAGAGAGGTAATTACAATAAAACGAGAGAGAGAGAGAGAGGCAAATACAATAAAACGAGAGACAGAGAGAGAGGTAAATAGAATAAAACGAGAGAAAGAGAGAGGCAAATGCAATAAAACGAGAAAGAGAGAGAGAGAGAGGCAATTACAATAAAACGAGCGAGAGAGAGAGGCAAATACAATAAAACGAGAGAGAGAGAGAGAGAGAGGTAAATACAATAAAACGAGAGAGAGAGCGAGAGAGAGGCAATTACAATAAAAAGAGAGAGAGAGAGAGAGAGAGGTAAATACAATAAAACGAGAGAGAGAGAGAGGCAAATACAATAAAACGAGAGAGAGAGGCAAATGCAATAAAACGAGAGAGAGAGAGAGAGAGAGAGGCAAATACAATAAAACGAGAGAGAGAGGCAAATACAATAAAACGAGAGAGAGAGAGAGATAAATACAATAAAACGAGAGAGAGAGAGAGGCAAATGCAATAAAACGAGAGAGAAAAATACAATAAAACGAGAGAGAGAGAGAGAGAGAGAGAGAGAGAGAGAGAGAGAGAGAGAGAGGCAAATACAATAAAACGAGAGAGAGGGGCAAATGCAATAAAACGACAGAGAGAGAGATAAATACAATAAAACGAGAGAGAGAGCGAGAGAGAGGCAATTACAATAAAATGAGAGAGAGAGATAGAGGCAAATGCAATAAAACGAAAGAGAGAGAGAGGTAAATACAAAAAACGAGAGAGAGAGAGAAAGAGAGAGAGAGGCAAATGCAATAAAACGAGAGAGAGAGAGAGAAATGCAAAATATAAAAAATAAAAGAAAGATAGATAGATAAAACGAGAGATAGAGAGATAGAGATAGAGAGAGAGAGAGAGAGAGAGAGAGAGAGAGGTAAATACAAAAAAGACGAGAGAGAGGTAAATACAATAAAACGGGAGAGAGAGGTAAATACAATAAAACGAGAGAGAGAATAAATAAAACGAAAGAGAGAGAGAGGCAAATAAAATGAAACGAGGAGAGAGAGAGAGAGAGGTAAATACACAAAACGAGAGAGAGAGGCAATAAAAACGAGAAAGAGAGAGAGAGAGAGAGAGAGAGAGAGAGAGAGGTAAATACAATAAAACGAGAGAGAGAGAGAGAGAGGTAAATACAATAAAAACGAGAGAGAGAGAATACAATAAAACTAGAGAGAGAGAAATAAATGAAACGAGGCAAGAGAGAATAAAAAAACGAGAGAGAGAGAGAGAGAGAGGCAAATATAATAAAATGAGAGAGAGAGAGATGCAAAATAGAGAGAGGAGAAAGAGAGAGAGAGAGAGGCAAATATAATAAAACGAGAGAAGAGAGAGAGGCAAGAGAGCGAGAGAGAGGCAAATGCAATAAAACGAGAGAAAGAGAAAGAGAGAGAGAGGCAAATGCAATAAAACGAGAGAGAGAGAGAGAGAGAGAGAGGGGCAAATACAATAAAACGAGAGAGAGAGAGAGAGAGAGAGAGGTAAATACAATAAAACGAGAGAGAGAGAAAGAGAGAGAGAGGCAAATGCAATAAAACGAGAGAGAGAGAGAGAGGCAAATGCAATAAAACGAGAGAGAGAGAGAGAAATGAATAAAACGAGAGAGAGAGAGAGAGAGAGTAAATACAATAAAACGAGTGAGAGAGAGAGGGGTAAATACAATAAAATGAGAGAGATTGAGGCACATGAAATAAAACGAGAGAGAGAGTGTGGCAAATATAATAAAACGAGAGGGAGAGAGAAGCAAATACAATAAAACGAGAGAGAGAGAGAGAGAGAGAGAGAGAGGCAAATACAATAAAACGTGAGAGAGAGAGAAAGAGAGAGAGGGAGGCAGTTACTATAAAACATGAGAGAGAGGGGTAAAATACAATAAAACCTGTCTGTGTGTGTGAGAGAGAGAGAGACATATATAGTCAAAAGAAGATGGCAAAGAGTAAAAGTGAAAATTCTGTAGGAAAAGCGAAAACAGCGAAAGGGAAATCATTATATATTAAGGTCATTTTTAGTCGTGTTCTGTTGCTCTTATTTCGAATTCTGAGCCGTTATCCATTACACCACCCGCACATCCAAGCTTACAGCACCTGTTATTCTCCAGCGGCCAGGCTCTACGTTGCTTAACTTCGGTTATCGTACGAGAAAAAGCCCGTATGTATATACGAGCTGCTACGCAATCGTTTAATGAATTTGATCCTGAAATAAATTAATTACACTAATCCCTAATTTCTCAGTTATTTGGGGCGATGAAACGATTTCCCAAACATTATCAGGTTGACGAAGAAATTGATATTTTCAGGAACAGGTTGCAGTGAAGTTTCTTAAATACATAACAGGTCATGAAAAATGGGTGACATGGAACAATGTTCAACGCAAAAGCATTGGACTGACATAGATAAAACTCTACGACCTACTACAAAATATCAACTCCATGGTAGAAAAAGGTAGTGTTGTGCGTATGGTAGGAAAGATTCATTTAAAGTTCGTAAAACGCAATAAAACACTAAATGCACAGTTGTACGTCCAGCAGCTGCAATCTGTCCATAAAGGTTTGGCTGAAAGGCGCTATGCGCTTCTTAATAGGAAGAATGTTCTTCTCCGCCGGGACAACGCAAGGCCGGATGCAGCAAAAACCAGGAAAAAATGTTGGAACTCGATAGGTCTGTTCTGCTATCCACCATATTAACCTGACCTTGCACCAGCCGATCATTACGTTTTCCGATCACTGAGAAAAGCTTTGATTAGGAAACATTTCTCATGAAAACCAGATTCGTCAAGATTTATCGAAAACATTTTCACATCAAAATGTGCGGAATTTTACTTGTCTGACTATATCTCAGAGATGAGGTATTATGATTATTTACATTATTCAGACCATTATGCTCATCTTCATTGCCATATTCACAACATTTCGGCCATTGTACGCTCTGGCCTTCTTCAGGTGATTGGAATTTCCAACCGAACCCTTTATTTCATCCACAAGGGTAGATTGTTATTGTTCCACGCCGCTTCCGGGTGTCTCACTTATTCCCCTTTAAGTCTCCAAGTTATGCTTCACCACTGCTGTAACCAAATATTGAACTCACAACTCTTTATCCACTGTGTCATGTGTCCTTGAGGACATCTTTGTATAAATTTTCGATACTTATAAATTCTAATGTCACAGCAATCATTTTTTACCAGTGCTCATATTGCAATTTTTCTGCCATCATTACATTTTTTTTACCAGAGCTTATATTGCAATTTTTGTTGTTATTCATTGCGTTTCTCTAGCACTCCTTATTACTGGCATGTGGAACTAGAACAATCTACCACAGTGGACAAAATAAAAGGTTCGGTTCGAAATTCCAATCACCTGAAGAAGGCCAGGGTGCACAACGGCCGAAACTTTGTGAGCATGGCAATGAAGATGAAGATGACAGTCCGAATAATGTAAATAATGGCTAGAAGTGGTTGCAAATAATGGTGAATAAATTATTAAATAATATTGTTGTAGCATACATACAGACGATAATGGGTATGTCCCCATTCACATAAATACAGTAGTAAATACTGTATGTTGGTCTGCAGTTGGAGATTCGTCTCTAGCTGTGCTGGTCAAACGCTCTGCCTCCGGACAGATAGGGTCCCCAGACGAAGCTGTGTCTAAGGGCAGACTCTCGTCTTTTATACGGGGGTCTACGGGGAATTTTTGGCTGAGCCTACGAGTTCGGAAGCCCACATTAAATTCGGCCTCGTGCCACATCCGTCTGCGTGGTACAGTTGGTAGATATCCTGCATTTGGAGATTCATTGTGGAATTCACTTGACTCACTTTTAGCAGTTGACTACTTCTTCTACGCGTCGAATCTTATATGTGTTGTTCTTGTCCTAAGTATTATCGTTCATTACCAACCTTCGTTTGATTATTCTATTCAGTAACCTTTCCTAGGTTCAACAAATATGTATCTGTATTTTATTTTTTTGAAAAATCAAGTTGATAAAGTTAAACGTAAATTTTTTCTGACTCAAACTAATACTTCATACAAAGTGTAGCGGCGAAAAGAATTTGATCCATTGTACCGTTGAGATTCAAACATTAGGACAGTGCCTGTTATGATAGTGCTATGTCAGATCGATTCTATCGATTAACCTCGTCTATCATGAATACAACTGATTTGCTTTCTACGTTGCTTTGATAAATGTTATGCTTAAAAAGAAGTTGTTCGTTTTTGCCAAGTTTCTTGTCTCAAATATTTTGCTGAGACTCTTGTCACAAACCTTTTTTTTAATCATTTCGCGTCAACCAAGGCAATAAAGCCACTAAGACGCAAGTGGGGGGGTACTGAGTGTTAAAGAATATGAGGAAAAACACTATTAAGTATATAGAACAATAGAAGATAACATTGACATCGCATTTAAATTTGAAAATCCAAGTTGGATGGAAAGCAAGAAATCGGAAAAGAGTTCCACAAGTGAGAAGTGCGGTGGAAGAAACTGTTAGCATTGAAATTAGTTACATCTAACTATTTTAACTGTAAAATGATGAGACCTAGCTGCCAATCTAGTACTGCTCTTAAATTAATAAAATCTATGTACCACAGAGAAAAGTTCACCAGAAGTTTCCATGAAAGTATTTATAGAAAGGTCACCAGGAAGTTATGTTATGATGGTGTGTGTGTGTGGGGGGGGTTGTCTGAACCAATAATATTGCCACATATGGCTAAGATATTCATTTTCTTTCCAGTTCCTTCAATTCTTTTGTCTCTTTTTAAGACAATTCGTGTACTGTGGCTATTATGCAAGGTTTAACCATTAGGTGACAAAACCTGACGAAAGTCAATATAAATATTGTGAAGTCATCAATTAAGCACTATGCTTCGAGTTTTATATATATATAAAATATTGCATTAAACCTATTCCTTTTTATGCACACAATTTTTTAAATCGAATTCATGCTAAGTAAGGCAGAAATGCCACTGAGATGCAAGGGGTTGCTGGGCGTGAGAGAAGTAAAAAACAGAAACATTATTGAGGAGAGAGAACAATAAAATAGCAAACAGGAAAACGCTAGATAACGACTGACATTTAAGTTTTTAAACAGCAAAATTATGTGGAAAACAAGGATCCGTGAGACAGTTCCACAAGCGATAAGTGCGAGAAAAGAAACGGTTAGCATAGAACCTACGGTTACATCATAGCCAATTCGACTGTAAATTGATGGGACCCTCTTGCTAATCTAGTATTGTGCTTAAATTCATGTCTAAGTACCACAGAGAAAGGTTCATCAGAACAATTACCATGAGCGTCTTTATAGAAAAACGCGCAGGAAAGCTACATTTCGTCGGTGGGAAACTGACAGAAGGTGAGTGAAGAGTCTATATCTCAATTTTAATCGTATTCACCCTATGTAAGGCATTAAAGCCACTAAGACGCAATAGAATAATAATCGAGGAGACATAGCAATTGACATTGCATTTAAATTTTTGAAGATCATTGACGAATACCAATATAAATTATTAAGTCATAGATTGTATTTTAACATTGTAAGCGCATTTTTTTGTTTTTTTTTCTGTGTACTTTTTCGATAAAAATAAAATACAGGTGAATGATTGTCTGGTATAAAAATGTTTTAGAACCTGTTCCATCAGTGGAACAATATGCATTGAAAGATTAATATTGAATAATATTTTGCAATCGTGATTTTTTAGTGGCTTTGTATTGGAACATAAAATAACTTTATATTAATTGTTATCTGTTATTCCATACTGGCATTTTGATAAGTTTGTAAATTTGCATCAGTTTCTTCACAAAGCACATTAAGATTTTAAATATATTTTTTTATGATCTTAAAAGAAATAAAACAATATACAAACCAAAAATCTTTTCCAATAAATAAAAAAAAACTTATGGACTGTTTCATTGTATTTAAAGAAGTTATGATATAAAGCCAAAGAACTGACTCAAGAAATCTACCGAGAGTCTCGTTTCAAAAGCTTTTGCTGAGAAATTGTGATACGAAACAAAACAAACAAACAAAAAAAGATTCAAGAAATTCGAACAATGGCAGACGGGAGTATTTTAAGTGTTGTGGAGAGTAAGTTGCAAATGACATACGTCTTCTTTGAAGATACTCAATATATTCACTTTAGCCTGGACCAGCGTTCAAATAGAGGAAAGGTATATTTTTGTTCTAAGTAGTATGGAAAAATCTGATAACTGTTATCGGCACGGAAAGTGAAACTCGCGTGCAGAGTTCGATTTCCGCTAATGCTCTTGGAAAAAGCATGAATCCATCTCTCCAGCGTTAGGTTAAATAGTAGGTATCGGGCTAAAACATGGCATTTAGTGGGGTTCGAACGCACAGCCTCACCAATGAGTTGCGAGACCATTTTACTAACAACTGAAATGCCACCACCCACCATTATTACTTCTAATATAAAAATAAGTAATATCGCCAAATAAAGTAATGTGACCATCAAAATTATATAGAAAAACCGACAAATATGCAATCATATTAATATTATCTCAATTTACATTGGTATGGTACAAGGCCAAAATTGTGAGCTAACAAGTTATAGACTAACATACTATCATGAGATGAAGCATTTTTTCTTACATTTTCTCAAATTGCCTTAATGTAATATGGGTTTGAGGTGTTAGGCATTTAGTAAATTCCATCTCATACAGTGACGTGCCAAAAGTCATGAGAAAGCAGTATGTATAGATTATAGTAGATGGCACCACACGTAACATCACGTTATGGAAATGCCGATATCAATTATACTCGGACATCTGGTAAGTCAGAGTGAACACCGGCCAAGTTGTTCATAGCAAACATATTTCTTATCCTTTGTAGTTCTTACTAAGTTTTTC